TTTTTTTTTCAATGACAATAAATGAACCAACTTAAAAGTAAACGGACCATGAATAAGAACATATTCTAATGATGTAATTCATAATCAATATGTAATAATGATTGTAACATATGACAATTTCTGATTTCTGCAATGTAATTATGAAATTAATTGGAAAAAAAATGAAAATATGTTTACAAAAAAAAAAGACTATCAAAATGTATAAATAATTATTTGATAGTTGTTAATTGTCAGAAAAGTAAATGAACTCAATCTTATTTGTCAACGTTCAATCATATTTGATGATAATCATTACTTTAGTCTAATATGTAAATATTCATGTTGTTGTTTTTATTGTTTCTTGGCCTGTTGTTAATTGCCTATAACATATACACACACATCGTGAAACGATTCACTGAGCTGATCATTATATGATTATAGAGTAAAAGAAAGGAAAAGAGACAAAACGATTTGTTGGTCACACTTATTCTGACCGTGAAATAATGTTATATGTCCAATTGGTCTTATCTTTAATTCATCATGTGTACAGTTTGCTGATATCTTAATAGGACTCAATTGTCGAAAAGGAGAGAGAGAGAAAGAGGGCTGGCACTTTACTCAATGTCAATGGAATGCTATCTTTAACGTGTGTCGAGGGGCCTCATCATCACTTCTCACTCATACAGAGAAGAAGAAGAAGAAAAAAAAATCAGATTATCGATAGCAAAAGAAAAAGAGAAAGTGTTTGTACAATTCATGAATGAGCAGGTGTATGACTCTATATATATAGTTCTTGTAAGAAATCCAGTTGTATGACTTAATCAAGGCACCAGCTTGATCATTTGATGCGCTTCGTTACAATCAAATAAAATTGAACTATGTTCAAGTATCTTTCTCTTTTCTTTTCTTTTTTTTTCTTCTTATCGTTCAATATTTATATAATTGAGACGTAGAAAGAGAGATAGAGAGAGTCTCCACCTGTTGCTCAGCTAGAAAAAAAGAGAATAAGAAGAAAAAAGTCATTTTTCTTTTCTTTAACTCTGATTTCCGTTCGAGAAAAGTAAGTACCCCACAGGAAGAATGTTGTGTAAACAGATTTTGTGCCTTTTGTTGTGATTTTTATCAGATTAAGAGATATTATCTTAAAATTGTTTATTACCACATGTCTTGTCGAGACACTTGTTTTTCAAGAGATGATCATTGTCATAAAATAAGATGAACAAGAGTTTAATTGAACTGATCAATTGATCGATATTTGATTAGAAGATTTAACCCTACGTCAAACGTCATTCATGGTCAATGAACACAATCAGTTTGCGTTTCTCTCTTATCTTTTCACAAATACCAAACAAGTGTTTCTCTATATATAGATATAGTTATATTACCAAGTCTGGAATCTTTCTTACTAAATGATGAATAAGATTAATGAGAGCGGTCTCTTTGCTCATGCGCATACATATATATATATATATCGAGTTATCTCTTTTCTTGTTATGAAAGGATTTGATATTCATTTTTAAAAGCATATGAGACAAGTAATAATGATCTATCAAATGCTTATTTTTTCTTGATCAATCAGTTATGTTACTTGAATGAGCATGTTGTTGTCAAACTCTATTATCATTAACACACGTACATACTTGTTCTCTTTCTATTCTGTCCAAAATTTCTTTCTCCAATTGAATATCTTCTCTCCTCTCTTTCTCTCATGGTATGCAATCGTGATGGCACAGCCAATTAAGGTGCATTTAGCCTCGAGGATACCGCTACAGACCAGACACTGTTTGTGCTGTCCATCAAAACGTGTTAGATATATCATCAATATGATGTTATAGTGCCTTTCATTAGATATCTTTATTGAAAATAATGGGTCAAATTCCTTTTTTTTTCTTTACCTTGACAAAATAGCTCGAATTAAGCGTGTAAATGATGTTGGTACTTGCTAAAAGGTCTTTTTTTCACCTAGTTATGTGTATATGTGTATATACAGTAGTCGGATTGTTTTATATAAATGGACGCATTTATATATCGAGTGAACTTTTTCTAATTAATCGGATATGTGTGGACCGACGAGTAAAAAAAAGAAAGGGAGCGAAAGGGGGAGAGAGAGACGGAGAAAAGAAATAGGTGATATCACAAAACTGAAACCAGATGGGAGACAGACAGAAAAGAGAGAAGGAAAAAGACGAGGGACATATCGAGCGCGTCATAAATTACGATTATGATTATGAGCTCATCATTATTCGACGAGACACTTGGTTGATAGCTAGGTGAATCTTCTTAGTCTAGTTTCATTCGAAGACTTTCTTAAAGGTAATCTTACAATTCTTTCTTTTTTTTTAAGTTTTTCCTATCATCATTTTTTTTCTTTTGCTGTCATATGATGTCATCACTTTCTTATCATTTTATGATGTATGCCCTTTTATTTTCAACTGTTTCCAATATTGACCTTTTTAGATACACGATTCTATCCAATAACGTTAAAAAAATGTTGATACGATCAACGTTTCTTCTTTTGGTATTAATAACAACAATTTCAACGAATTCATTCATTGAAAATTGGAAGAATAAATTGAAAAAATTAAAAACAGAAACAAAAGATAAAGTTACTGGAAAAATACAAGAAAAATGTAAGTGTGAATTGAATAGATCTTTAAAGTCAATAATCAACTATAAATAATGTTTCATGTCGTGTGTATTCATTTTTATTTCTCTTTCATCTTGATCGTTAATCTAAAAGTATCGTCTCAATATATACATACATACATACATATGTGTATTGAAACAAAGATAGTCGATCTTGAGTTATACACGCGACAATCACGGTATGTCCTCTGTCCCGCGACAATGCATTTTCAAAGTCAATTATCGTTCATACAACGATGAGATGATGGTCAAAATATTTTATGTCTAGTATATATACATTAAGAGGACCAATATAATATATTACATATATACAGACACTTGTCTGAACAATTACATACGAAAGAGATCATCAGACACGCTTTTGTACCTTGATATAATACTAAATAATTTTAATGGATACTATTATTGTAATATATGATGAATAGAAATTATTCATTGAGTACTTTTTCATTTTTCACTGAAGTTAAAACAAAAAAAAGAAAAGGAAAGGAGACAATCCGATCATGTTTGTTATGTCTTGAAATTCGAATCGAATCGTTTAAATGAATAGTCTTGTTGAGTTATGAAATATATCATAAGGGAATGATGATGATGTCATCGAATCAATTCATAATTGTAACTGTTCTGATTAATGGACAGTATTAATTATCATACTTATCTTGTTGTTTTTTTTTTAGCTCAATGTCCAATAGCTTGGCAATATTTTGCAGCATCTTGTTATTGGAAATTTCCTATAAAACGTTCATGGTCTGAAGCACGAAAAGAATGTGCTAGATTTCGAGCTGATCTTGTTGTTATTGATAGTGATAATGAATTTGATTATATTGCAAAAAATGTTACTGATTTAAGAGAAGATTTCTATGTTGGATTTCATTATTTTAATGGTAGGTTGAATTGTAATTATTCAAAAAAAAAGAAAACTAAAATTTAAAATATATATTAGAATCTTGGTCATGGATAAATGGTCGAGCTTTATCAGAATATACATATTATACAGAAGAAGATTTATGTGAAGATCGTTTACCAGTTGAACCACGTCATCGTTCATGTGGAATTCTTGATCGAGCTCGTCGAGGACGATTATGTATGAATGTTGATGTATGTGATAGAAAATTAAATTTTATTTGTGAAAAAGGTTTGATTATTAATAAATCGAAATTTCTTATTATTATTGTTATTTATTAGTTGTTGATCGATGTAGTTCATTAAATGATATATGTGGTAAACATGGTCGATGTGTGAATACAGATGATGGACAATTTCGTTGTGAATGTCATTTTCTTTTTAGTGGAAATCGATGTCGATCAAGTAAGAAGATTATGAATTTATTTATTTTTAAATATTCAATATAAAATTGTTTTTAGTGAGTCAAGAAGGTAGTCAAGTTATTATGGCTGCAATATTTGTTATTACTGCATGTATTGCACCAATATTTTTTCGATCAATATATAGAATGTTAAAAAAGAAGATTAGATCGAACTTCACCAACCTATGGCAAACTTCATTGTATAAATAACAGGTTAGAATAGAAGAAAATTGATTAAAAATAATGTTTAAATATTGATGATTTCATCTTGAAGATAGATTATATAATAAAGCAATAGGATCTTTTTTTATTTAGTCTTTTCAGAGTGATGTAATGTTATGAGATTGATTTGTAATTTTTGAATGGCATAGTCAGTAATAGAAAAATCAAAAGAATAGCGATTTGTTTGCTCATATAGAAACATAGTTATGTAATGAATGATTTCTTATGGAAAAAAATTATTCGTCGAACTTCTAGTGTAGAGAAAATAATCGACGACAAACTGAAAATTCAGTAAACCTATCTTGACTACAGAAGAACTCTCTTAAATATCATCTGAACCATCTACCTCATTAGTGTTCATAGTCATCGATGTTATCGAGAAATTTATCATATTCATCAGATCAATACATTACTAGATGATAAAAATCTAAAGACAGTTTTTTCCTCTATGAACATGATACATGCAACATTAAAAAAAATGATGATTGCTTATCTTTCGTTCTTAAATTGAAAGCACATTTTTAATTCTTATTATCTTCTTTTAGTGACTATGGACTCCCGAAACATAAAATTGATCATCAGAAGAAACAAGAAAAGAATCTTGATAATTTCTTCAAATTAATTTCGAATATTCCATATTCAAATATATGTAATTCTTCAACATTTATAATTATATTCAGTACATTTTTAATAACAACATTTTGTTTATCAACAATTCCATTTGTTGAATATCGTCTTTCACTTTCATCGATATCAAATAATAGCAATATAACATTAACACAAAAATTAAATTCAACATTTCATCGTTTATATCAATGTCGACAATTTGATAATTATGTTTGGCAAAATTTTGTTTCATTACCATTAGCAATTCTTGTTACATTAATATGTTCATGTTTAAAAAAACGTGACACTTTTTGTTTACAATTTTGTCATGGACGACCATCATTACCAATGCCATTTAATTTATTTGATAAACGACAACGTCATGTTGTTGCAGCTATATTTGGAATATCAGCAAATGAAGTATTAAAAATTCTTGAAGAACTTCTAGTTCGTCTTAATACAAAACATATTGCAAATGATGAAGGAATTATTATTGAATTATTGAAAAGAATTGGAATTGTATTATTAATTGGAATGAGATATTTTCCATTATTAGTTAGGTAATTTTTCAAATATATAATTTATATTTTAAAATCAATGGTTATTTTTGTTTTTTTGAATAGTGTGAATATTCCGCATCCAATTGCTTATGGTCTTGGATTGATATACACATTTATTGATGGTACATATACATTAATATATACAAGTTATTGTTCTCGTTTTTCATTATTTCGTTTTGGTCGAACATTACTTTTACAAACAACATCAAATGAATTAACACAATCAGATTTATTCTATGTTATATTCAGAAATTTACCACATTTTACTTTAATGTCATTTGTATTTGTTAAATTTTTATATTTATTAACTCAACAATTAAAATGTCAATGTTGTCAACAATCAACAATGATTTCAAATCATAATAAAAATGAAAAAAATCATCAAGTATCACTTGTGTCATCAACACTTTCAATAGATTTATTAAAACCTGATTATCAAACTAAACCAGACTTTTATTATACTGAAGGTAATACAAAACAAAACAATTTTATTTAGTATATAAATAATAGAATTGAGAAACAGCTTAACACTGACAAGAAGGTGCCATTGATAAACGCAAAATTTAAAGGCGATGATCCCCCCCTAATAACGCCGAAAATATAAATATCAAAAACCTAAATGCTGCATAATTAGAAAAGTAGAAATGTTGAGAATGAAGAGGAAATAGAAGTAGAAACAAATTTCGCTCTCACCCATACCATTATATTTCCGCCTACACCCAGGGGCGTAGCGAGGTCTTCAAGGCAGGGGGGG